GCATACTCGGCTGGGCTCGCTGTCCTAGATGGCTGACCAGTCACGTCCCTGAGTGCAGGCCATTTCCTTGTTCCTGTCTTCCCATGCTCATTGTCAACCACTGCACGCAGACCTGATGGCCATCACAAGTTCAGCACCAATTAGCAAGGTCTTCCTTCAACGAGAACTAAGTTTATGTGTATTTCTCTTCCACACTTCCTTGTGCTTCCCAAGTCTCCCAGAGCTGAGTACCCACCTTTACCACTGCTTGTTTGAGCTCCTGGCTCCGGCTCTTCAAATCCATACCTAGGGCCCCCTCCAGCTGCTGCCACTCCAGGGCAAGAAACTGAGCAGCCTCTTCAGCTCTGTTTTCAGGTTTTCTGTCATTTTCTGTCACACTGTCCTCACAGCCATTTCCTGAAGTCTGAGTCCTTAAGTTTTAGGTACTTAAAAGGGTGAAATGTTTCTGTGTCTAGTATTTTCAAAAGTTTTTTCAGGTCGTGGGATAGTTATAAAAATGACCAATGACCGCCGAGTCACATCCCTAACAGTTAAGACACGTTCAGGAATGCTGTAGGACCACTCTGTGTCCTGCATAGGACAGTTGCATCTAAGATAGATAAAGGGGATTGTGGTAGCAAACATCTTTGATTCCAGCACTCAGGTGTAGCCTGAGCTACAACACTATTGTAAAGGTCTGGTCTGAGGGAGGAAAACAAAAACAGCATTTGATGTGGGCTGGAGCAATCAAGAGAGCCTTACTGGGAGATTGATCTGTATGTGACTCTTGAAGGGCAAGCCTTAAAAACACCTGTTCATTCCCTATAGCACTTACAATGAGTCTCACACAGAACTGATGTCATAAGGATAACTCCTGAGAAAGGAGGGAGAAAGTTCCCTAGCTTGTTGGGAAACTGTGTGGAGCCTGAGCTCACTGATACAAGTCTGACTGCACATGAATTTCTCCAAGAAGCAGGAGCTGTGAACTCTGACATATTCCATGCTGGTAAGATCTGCGGCCCTGACATGCGCAGTGGTGCTCCTCATCAACGTCTGCGTTTCTCCTCAGACCTGGGGATGCCACCAGAACGCCAGAGCTGGACGAAACCAGAGCAGAGAGGTAGTGCGATGCCAGGGAGGCAAGCCAGACCCAGGAGCGATGGCAAACCCGAAAAACCGCTGGTACCTCCCAAGGGGAACCTCAGGCCGGGCAGCAGAGGGCGGTCCCTAATGCGGTCCCTGTGGAGGCTGAGGAGGAGGCTGAGGAGGCTGAGGAGGAGGAGGAGGAGGAGGAGGAGGAGGAGGAGGAGGAGGAGGGGAGGAGGAGGAGGAGGAGGAGGAAGAAGCTCCTCTGGTTTTGGCAGCAGAACCGCCTAATGCTGGAGGGTGATGAGCTGGCCACCAAATGGTGTCTGGAACAGCTGGTCTTCAGCGACATCAAGGACTACGAGGTTGCGCTGCTGCTGCTGCTGCTTTGGCTGTGGAGCTCGCCTGATCAACGACAAGGAAGCTCGGATGACTCTGAAGTGGAAGATGAAGCAAAAGGTAATCTTCCGCAGAAGAAGCCAGTTTGGGTGGATGAAGATGATGATGATGAAATAGTTGACATGATGAACAGTCGGTTTCGGAAGGATATAATACAAAATGCCAGCGAAAGTAAACTCTCAAAAGATAAGCTTCAAAAGAGACTTAAAGAGGAATTCCAGCCTGCCACGGGAGGAGTACCTGATTGGGCACAAGCGGAGAGAATCTGCAGATGAGGAAAGTGAAGAGGATGAAGACGATTTGTTGCAAAGGGCTGGGAATTTCATATCTGCATCCACTTCTCTTCCTGGAGGACTTCTGAAGATGAAGAACTGCCGTCCTGCCAGTGCTGAACGGACTACCACCGCTCAGATCTCAACAGTGCGGCTCCATCCTGGAGCACAGGTGGTGATGCTCTCTGGGGTAGACAATGCTAAATCACTATGTCAGGGAGATGGCAAAACAAACCCGAAAATCCAGAGCACCTATTTGGGAAAGTTTCCAATCTTTAAGGCTTGTTTCAGTGCTAATGGAGAGGAGCTTTTAGCCACAAGTGTGCACAGCAAGGTTCTTTATGTCAATGATATGCTAGCTGGAAAGTTAGTTCCTGTACATCAAGTGAGAGGTTTGAAAGAGAGACTAGTGAAGCGATCTGAAGTCTCTCCAATTCCTGCTCAGAAGCGGCACGGCTGGGTTTTCCCATTTGCTGTCAATGAAGACTAAAGAATTAATCGGTAGCATGAAGATCAATGGGAGAATGGCAGCTTCCACATTCTCTTCTGATAGTAAGAGGGTATGTACTCCTGGGAATGGAGAGTTTATGTGTGGGATGTGAATTCGAGGACGCGCATTAACAGAGTCCTTGACGAAGGCAGTTTGTATGGATTAGCATTGCTGCATCAGAGTGGGCTGTATGTGGCTTGTGGCTCTGAGAGTGGAGTGGAAAACACAGACAGTCAAGAGTCTTGCTGCCAACAAACCAACCCAAAGCCAATAAAGGCCATAGTGAACCTGGTCACGGGAGTCACTTCCTTGACCTTCAATCGCAGAAATCTTCAAGGAAAATGAAAGAAGCTGTCAGATTGGTTCATCTTCCTTCCTGTGCACCATTTTCTAACTTTCCGGTTTTTCAAAGGACTGCTATTTCTCGTGTTCAAACCCTGGATTTTTCTCCCAGGGTTGGATACTTTGCCTTGGGGAATGAGCGAGGCAAAGCCCTGTTGTATAGGTTGCACCATGACTCAGATTTCTAAAGATGTTTTTTTTTCTGAAATCCAGTTGAACCCACCTCAGTCCATCTTCCCAGAAATTTCCCAGTGTGTGATGATATATGGATAATGACTTGTGGGATCCATGCTTAAAATTAGCAGCAATGTCTTAATATATAAATTTTATTTGAAAGGAAGAAAAAATATCTGTGGCCCTTCCCTTTTATCCTCAAGTCAGACATGCTCAGGTGACTTGTTTGGGCCAATAAAATAGACCCTTTCTGAGGGGAAGGCCACTGAGAGTTTGGAGGCCTTTACTGTGACTGCTTTACAAAGAATTCCCCAGGGGGACTCCTCTGACAGCCTGGGACCCTCAGTGACAAAGAGGCTGCAAAGAAGTCCCAAGATCATCCTAAGAATTTGTTATGGAATCTGACTCAGGCCCTTCTGACCTTGGTGGGCTGTGGAATTGTGACCTGATTGCCCTAGAGATAATGAACCCAGAAAGGGTACCAGATGGGTTTCTCTAGTCTTGGACTGAAGAGAGCATCACAGCAATAGAACACAGCATTTCTGCAGGAGAACGGAGAGTTTTTGCAGGAGAACAGAAAGCTTCTAAGGTCACTTTCAAATGGACACTAGACTTGGGACATTTTATTTGTTCTGCTAAAGCTATTTTAAAGTAGAGACAATGTAGAAAAGGGACATCTTCTAGCTAACTTGGAATTCTAATCCCATGTCAGAATTAGAAGTATCGGAGCAGACATTAGAACACATCATATGGCAATGCAGTTCTCTGGAGAAACCATAGGACTTTAGAGATGAGACCGAGAAAACTCATTTCCCCTTTACAGATATCCGACGTTTGATGACGCAGGGCGATCGGTAATGAAAAGTCCCCAGACTAGCTTAATACAAAATATACAGCCTTAATAAACAGAAGAAAGGAAACTTACAAAAACCAGGGTTCCAGCGATCCAGGAACGCAGAGGGCAAAAAGAGAGGAGGAGGCAAGCACACCTGGATCTTTTATTTGTTTTGTGTTGCCCTGGGGGACCCACCCTAAGCAGAATGTGATTGGCTGAAGTTCCCCATCACACGTTTGTCCCTTGAATGGAGTATAACCTGCAGGAATAGCTTTTAAACCAAAGGGATCAGGTTCGAAATCCACTTGTACAATGAGATAGCCAGCCTGCTTTCCCCAAGCAGCACCTTCATACAAAAGTGTAATTATACTACCCGACCTGCATGAGCTAGAAACTCCTGCACTGTGTGTCCTAGGAGACGGACATTGCTGTTGTGCTGTTTTCTCCTGAGACAGAGTCTCGCTATGTAGCACAGGCTGTCTTTACCTTACTATACAGACAAGACTGACCCTGGACTTATGATCTCCTGTCTCAGCCTTCTGAGTGCTGGAGTTACAGGCAAGTGCCTAACATTTCCAGTACTCTTTCAGAACTATACTCAAGGGTTCAGGGACTTCATCCCAGCAACTCTGCTCCTTTAACTCAGTCTTGGGATGGATTTCTTCCCCCCACCTCGTCTCCCTTGTCTCTGGCAGCTGAGGCTAGAAGGATGCTCACAGCCCCCTGAGGCTGGTCAGTGAGAAGGGAGGATCTTCAGGACTTTATTATTCCGGGAACCATCCCTCCTCCACTCTCCAGAGTACAGACACAGGTACGTAACAACTGTGCCGACAGACAGCCTCACACAAATCTTCATTCCGAAAATAACACATTATTTTACAATAGTTCAGGAAAGTCCTTGGGAGGTTGTGATTAAAATGGAATCACCATAGAACATAGAGCTGATCGGTGAGCCCTCAGTCCTCTCTCTTCAGGTGATGAGCACAGAAGGGAAGACATGATGTCGGCAATGAGAAAGCCGGCGGCTAGCAAGGGGGACACATGCACAGTGTTATCACTCGTGACCACTGCACTCAGGTCTGGATCAGGTGCTTTGTCTTCTCTTCCCATTGCCTCAGCCCTGTTCGCAGAGCCGGGTGACAATGGCATTGAAGACAGAATAACTTACAACCATGAGCCATAGCTCAGGGGTTCTTGAGGCTAGAAGTTGTGATGCTCCGGCTCCCAAGTGGCTTCAGGAAATCCCCCCTCCCCGCCCCAATGGAGGAACATCCAGAAAACAGGATACACCAGGCCTTGCCTTCTAACCTGTCCTCACAGCCCACCTCTGTTGTTATGGGAACTTTCCAAGGAGATATGGAAGGGTTGGACGACTGTTCTTAAAACTACAATTCTGACATTAGAGATGAAGGAATGACAAGTTCTGAGAGCTGTGGTTGAAGGAGAACTTTATAGATGACCTGTGAAACACAGGATGAGGAGGACATGAATTGTCAGGAAGTATATGGTTGCCAGTAGTGGCACTCGGGACTGGAAACGGCAGAGTGAACGCAGAACCCGCTTCCCAGCGCCACTCCGGGTCTGAAACAAACAAAACAACAACAACAACAGCAATAAAATGAGGAAGTCAGCTCCATGTGAAGGCTTTCTCTTCACCAGTAATTCTGCATCTCAGTCAACTGATCCCATCCTCACAGCAGAGGGGCAGCCCTGGAGAAAGTGTCCTCAGTGGCTGAACCCCAATAACACTGCCCATCTCCGTACCTCAGCCCATTCCCACCACAGAGCTCTCCCTGCGTCCTTCCCTCTTACCCTTGGGCAGCTGCTGCTCGGGATGTCTATCCGGACTGACGTCTCCTGAGTGCCACAGGCACCAGTGGTAGGACTCCGGGCCGGAACCCGTTGACTCTGCCCCAGCCTGTGTTGAGAGAAAGATACAACACACGTCCCCTGCATGAGAATCTTCCCAGCCAATCCTGGCAAAGATTTCTCCCATGGGCCAGGCCCACACAGTAGTAAAGAAACTGTTTATGTAGGATGCTGGCTTGGGTGCTTCCGGTTGGGAAGCTGGAACTAGAACCCAATGCCCGTTTGTCTTTATGCCTCATGGTCTTCCCCCCTCTATACTAAATTTTATTCAGAAACTCACTCATTTCTCTCTCACCTTCTCCACAGCACTGTGGTTCTTTGTTTTTGAGAATGGGGCTTACTATGTAGCCCAGACTGGATTTGAACTTATGATTCTCCTGGCTCTACTTCCCAAGGCTGGGATTACAGGCATGCGCCCTCACACTCGACATTTTTTTAAAATTTATAATAGGCAAAGAACTCAAGAAATTCTGTTGGACTCTTAGTATGAGGCTGAGCTGCAGCCCCTACAGCTTCTGCAGCCACTGCAGCTTTCTGCCCTGATTTCTACTGATGAGCTTATTACTTAATTTTGGAAATTCTCCATTTAAGGAGAAGCTGCCTTGACTCAGTGTCCTCTGTGAACAACAGGGCAAGGCGTGTCTCATCACTCATTTGCCTACAGGGCAGACGATTTAACTAGAGAGGAGAGCATGCAAAGCCCCTTTCCTCTTCCTGTTTCTTCCCCACACAGGGAGTCTCCATCAAGTGAACACTTCTCTGTGGGCAGCTCTCTTCCTCAGCGGAGAGGAAATACCTTAATCTGAACCTGGTTGAACTGGGCCGTATTTAGTTGCCCTGCTTTCCATTCTGGGTTTTTTTTTGTTATTGTTGTTGTTTTGTTTTTTGAGACAGGGTTTCCCTATATACCGAGGGAGTCTGTCCTAGAACTTGCTCTGTTGACCAGGCTGGCCTCAAACTCACAGAGATCCACCTGCCTCTGCCTCCCAAGTGCTGGGATTAAAGGTGTGTATCACCAACACCTGGCCTCCATTCTGCTCTCAGTCAGAAGGAAAGTGGGGAGAGGCTAAACTTAGGTTACTGTGGTCCAGACACAGGCTCCAGAGTCATCCTGACTAAGCTGTCTCAAGTGGTCCCGAGCCTCCCCATGGACCAGGTTTCTCATAAGTGGCAGAGAAACGGCCATGAACAAATAGGTCTGAAAGTCTCTGCAAGGCCACTACACAAGCTGCACTGTGTTCCCATAGAGCCTACCCTCAAGGCTACCTAGACGGTGTTGAGAAAAAAAAGCTGTATATATGCTGGATGGGAAAGAAGGAAATCTCAGCTAAGACTTGCTTCCTGGGGAAGGCATTGCAAGAAGGCAGAAACACCCCCAGTGCCGCTTATTCTGAGGGAAGAGACGGCAGACACATAATGCCTTCACACACACATGGAGATACCTGCTGTGTTTCTTCCCATGTAAAGGGGGTCCCAGCAACAGAACGCTTGTGGCCACACTACCTTCTCACACACAGTGATTTCTGGTTCCCTTGATGTGGAATAAGTAATGAGCAGGACACAGCTGTGCCCTTCCAATCACACTTGGGGTAGAGTGCCCACAATATCACACACATTCATGCCCTCCTACCTGGGCAAAAGCCGGTGACTGACAAAGGGAAGTTCAGGGTTAGGTAGTGTATTTGCCAATAAATCAAGCCACACTCCTTCTTAAGTGGTCTTCTATTTTCCCTTAGGTTACAATCTTTAAAATTTCAATGACCTAGCTAGGTGCGGTGACATATACTTTTAATTACAGCATTTGGGAGGCAGAGGCAGGTGGATTTCTGTGATTTCAAGGCCAGCCTGATCTACCAATCAAGTTTCAGGCCAGCCAGAGCTACTCAGAAAGACCTTGTCTCAAAAACAAACAAACAAACAAAATCTGGGAATCAGACAAGTGATGAGAATGCATTTATCTGGCCCTCTAAAGACTCTGACACTGGGGTCGTGGAGATGGCTCAGTGGGGACTAGTGCTTGCTTTGCAAGCATGAGGATCTGCATTCCCACCCCCGGCAGGCATGCGAGAGCTGGCCTGAGGTCACAGGGCACACCTGTGACCGCCAGGGCTAGGGGAAGACAAAGGCAGGAGAATGGCTAGCAACCCCTGGTCCCCGAAAAATGGCAAGTACCAGGTTCAATGAGAGACTCTGCCTCAGGTGACAGTGTTAGAAAGGGATACACCAAGACACCTAACCCCCTGTCCCCCTGCCCCCAACATGCACACACACAAGAACCCAACATGTACCTCACATAGTTACTGCTGGGATGAAGTAAGACACCGTATATAAGCTTCCTTGTGTAATATGGATAGGAAACATATTTCTAACCCCTATGAGCTACTGCTCTGGAAAGCACAGGTTTCCGAAACTCTACAGGTACCCTGCTTCTTGGTGATGACTCTCAAGTTGTGCTAGGACCGTTCAAGTCAAGGGGAGATGAAGATCTTAACTCACCCTGAGCCTGGTCGCATACACCAGGAGCAAGGTCAGGGAAGAAGTGAGCAGAAAGTGCCCCCCACACCTTACCGTCTGATCTGCTCCTTGGCCAAGGAGAGTGCGTTCTCAATGGCCAGTCTTTGCTCTCTCTCTTCTTTCAGCAGCCTCCTTAACGCATTCATTTCTTGGTCAGTGGTGCCGAGCTGCTGCTGGACTTCAGACAATCTGGAGGGTAAAAGGCAGGGAAAGGGCATCACTGGATATAGGACACAATCTCGAATACATCGTCACAAGGCTGGAGGCATTTCCCCAAACGGGAAAAGTAAACCAACATAGAAGTACAGCTGCAGAACAATTAAAACAGAAAATACCCATGGGGAGATGCGAGCCCATCAGTGCAGCTGCAATTCCAGCATCTGTAGGGCTGCGTGTGTGCACTTGTGTTACAAGCACTGTGCACTTCTTGCACAGCATCTTTTAGGAACTGTTGCATTCAGTCTTTACATGGCTCTGTGACGTTAGTCAGATACTAGGACACACGAAGAGCATATGGTGAACTCTTCTTCACCAAGATTACAACCCAATTTTGTTAAAATAGCACACACTGGCCATACAGAACAAAAGGTTTCATCACGATGTTTTCATATACGTAGATAATATATTTTTTATCATATTTAAGCATCACCCTCTCTTTACAATTTCTTTGCACACAGTGTATGATGGAGGGCGAACCCTGCTCCTGTACCTTGGCTGTGGCTCCCCTGTGGTCTCCGGATTCCTCTCTCTCTTTGGATTCATTTCCTGGGGCGCTCCTGGAATAGCTACATTTGGTGGCCCCTAGGAAAAACAACAGTGGAGCAGTTGTGATGGAAGCTCTTCAGACACCGTGTGTGTGCAAACTGAGAGCCTTCCACTGTGTAGGGAAGCGACAGCCCCTAGCTATCACTCCGAGCACTTCCCGCCACTGCCTTACTGCCCGCAGCTCCTGCCCCTGCTTCTCCAGCACAGCACAGTGCTTGAAGAGGTCACTAGAGTATTGCTGGCTCTTGTGGAGACTCTGGCTGGTGTCGCTGAGCTGGACGGAGAGGGTCTTCTCCTCCTCCAGCAGCTGAGAGAGCTGCAGCAGGGGAGAGGACAAGTGCCACCCCAGGACCACATCACAGGAGGCGGTGCTTAGGCACCTGGCCTGAACTTGCAGGACCTACCTGATTTGCAGTGCAGAACCCACCTTAGAGTCCTACCGGGGTCTGCTTCTTCAAAGGGAAAAATACCTAAGTGTTTCAGTCACAAAAGGAAACTAATTCTGGAAGAATAGCAGGAAACTGGTTCCAAGGTCTATGAACTGAACAACGATTAAACAGAACCCCCCTAACAAAAAATTCCAGTAGAACAGGCTATTCCAGGAATGTAAGCAGAGGACAGAAGGTTGGGTCCATGCTTAAATTACTAAGGAATAACAAGTCCTAGAACTCAGCACAGACAGGGAGCAAGCTCACACTTAAAAATGTGTGTAATGGTATTACTGGGTGGACATGTTTCCAAGAGAGCAGACAGAAGTCATACGTGTCTATGTGTACTTGAGGAGCAGAAGTGGGAGCCCAGATGCTCACCAATTGAAACAGTGCAGTCCCAACGCCAACCTTTCCTCTAGGTCCCGAGGGACAGGCCATGGTCAGATCTGTCCCTGCACAAGCTCAGTGTCAGGGTGCCCACTACTTGGCAAAGCAATCTACCTGCTGGTTTCTAAACCAGAAAACCTGTTTACGATGAGTGAAAACATTTAGCTGCTGTAGCTTCTACCAGCTGACTGGGACTGGACTCCTCTGCAACCAGAATTGGGATTCCTCACTTGTGGACTGTCATTTTAAACTTCAGTCATGATTAACACCCAGATACACTGGTAGCCATGGAGACGACCTCCTGAGTACCTACCACAAAGACATGGGAAGGCTTGGGTCACAGGAAATGGATGGATCTGGCTGGGAGTCTTGTGTTCTCTTGAGGATTCTTTTCTATGTATTTGTGTAAGAAAGTTCATCAATGCTTCAGAGAAAACAGTTTTCTAGAGACATCTGGGAAACCGCATTGGATGCACACAGATGGCACACAGGATCACAATGTGCTCTGTAACTGAACACGGCTCCAGATGACTCTCTGTGTGGTTGTCACTCTGAAGATCAAGTTTCAGTTTACAAAACATTTGGACAAATTCCGTCTTCATTGAAAGAAGCAGAGAAAGGACCTCCCTCCTTTCTTACAGATGGAAAAAGAAGTAAGTTTACACTACTTAAGGCCATGGCAGCAGCAGCTCCCAGAGTAAGGCTCACACGTGTGGGTCTCCAGTCTTGAGTCCCACCTGCTGGATGATGTGGTCCAATCTAAACTACAGTAAGGGCACTGGGAAGGGATGGGTGTGGGGAGAAAGGCTGTGACTGAAGAAAAGGGTGTGAATTTTGGGGAAGCTAAGCTTATTTGAGGGTGGCAGGCCGAGTATAATCGGAACTCCAGGATGAGGGCTAACACCATGCTCTCCCACCACAGGAAAAGTGTTCCTAGCTGGAATGAACAGCCCAGGGCACACCAAGCACAAGTAAACACAAGCAAATAAATCTCCCCAGTGTTTAAAATTGTCTTCTCATTTCGTCTCTAGTAAATCTAGAAACAGAGGGCAGACCCACAAACTTGTTGGAAGCGAAGGCTTATGAACTACAAAGACAAATAGTCGATCACTCATCAGCCACTCGTAACCCGTCTTGGGTGTCTGCATTCTGTCTAGGTTTCTGGGGTTAGGAGCAGGCATAGGACCCAGGGGCACGGCCCTCCCAGTGTCCATAGAGTCTCACTGGAGCACCCACTGCTCACGGGAGCTGCTGCTGTGGAGCTGCCACTACAGAGGGTGCAGCGCACAGACTACTTAGGCTCCTCAGGTTCTCCCTCTACTCACAGGCTAACTGAACTCAGTCCACTAAGGCTAGACTAACACTATACCATTAGTTACGTTTTAAGGTTTCTAACACATTCCTACACTGCATAGAGACATTTAGCTAAGTCAGCAGAACTGTGTAGAACACCTTAGCATTCAGCAAAGGAGCGAGGGCAGACAGGGTTAGAGAGAAACACGTGTGACGGCCCCTGAACTTCATCTCACTCAAGTGAGAAGCTGGGACCTACAGGGAGTGAGACTAAGCTCACATGACTTAAGGTTTTAGGTGTGTCCTCACTGCCTACCATATGGCCAGACTCTCAACAGGCAAATGACAGTTACTTGTTAACTAGCGGATGAGCAAGGCTAGGGAGGTGCCTTCCTCATTGCCAGATTCTAAAGAGAACTATTTCTTATCCCAAGTGACAATGGCCTACAGCAATATGTTCATACTGCAAACGGCTCCACTTAGTTATAAGGTAGGTGCCTGCGATTGGAAGAGGAATGGTGGACTTGTGGGAGATCCTGGTTCTCTATCTTGACTGCTTGTTACACATCTCTTTGTGAACATGTACCCTGCTATGCCAATGATCTGTTATCTTTATGTGTTAACTGTTGTAGAATATTACTTTAAGATGTGTGACTTTTGTTCATGTTGCATTTGTTTAACTCCGTGACGCTATGATTGCTGGCCTGTCTAAAACACCTGATGGTCTAATAAAGAGATGAATGGCCAGTAGCAAGGTAGAAGAAAGGACAGGCAGGGCTGCCAGGCAGAGAGAATACATAGAAGGAGAAATCTGGTGGGAAGAGCAAGAGAGAATAAGGAGAGGAGGATGGCAGAGGCCAGCCCCCCAGCTACCCAGCAAGACAGGGAGTAAGAGTGAAAGTAAGGTAGACAGAAGTAAGACAAGGAAAATGCCCAGAGGCAAAGGTAGTCAGAATAATTTCAGTTAAAGAAAAGCTGGATAGAAACAAGTCAAGATAAGGTTGGGCTTTTATTAGTAATAATAAGCCTCCATGTGTGTATTTATTTGGGAGCTGGATGGTGGGCCCTCAAAAGAGCTAAGCATAAAAAGAGTAAAAGACAACCAATTACATTTTACTTCCACAAAACATTTAAAATTTTCAGCTGTTATCATCTACCAAAATAATTTATTTCATCATCTATAAACAGCTGTTTCTGTTTAAAATGCTGTCATAGGAGGAGAAGCCTCGGCAGAGCCACGGACCAGCATTTAGAGAGGAACAAGAGCTGAGGTGTGACCGGGAGGAGTCACTGGGTCTTCACAGCCCACAGAGCTACAAAGGTCAGAACTTGTGTAATAGGTAGGTGAGAGGAGACCCCTTCCCACCAAACAAAACTAAGCCATTTAGTTCACCAATTCATTTGGATCCAAAGCCAATGGAGTATCTGACATTCTAGTGATGGTTGAATTTATCATCTAATGAGTACCTTCTATGTGTGGTAAACACACTAGTCACACACATGACCATGACTGCAATCTTGAGCAAGTGGGCTTTTCTCCTCAGCTGGGAAAACCGTCTCCTGATTTTTATGATTTTGAATCACAATGTTATTAGTATTTGTGTGTGTGTGTGTGTGTGTGTGTGTGCATGTGCGTGTGTGTGTGTGTGTGTGTGTGTGTGTGCATGTGTGTAGTACACATGCATGAATGTAGGCATGTTCATTTTACAGCTCACATGTAGAGAACAGAGAACAACGTTCAGGAGCTGATTCTATCTTTCCACTGTGGGATCCAGAGGTCAAACTAAAGTCATCAGAATTGGGAGGCGAGGACACCCCCCCCCACCTCCAGCAGCCTCAATGCCCGTGTTCCATGACTTCCTGTGAGAAGATGCAGGCACCGTGACTTCCCGTAAGAAGACGCACACACCGACCCCACACTGTGTAGACATTTGTGGGCATTCACAACGCTTCTCACAGACCCCTGGACTCACTAACCACTAACCTCATGAATGAAGTCTAAGTTTGGCAGACACTACCTATCTAGGTTTCTCTGAAGAGGGCAGGACTGGGAGGAGCCATTGAGAACACTTGGACCAGTCAGAGCAGCAGGAAGGCAGTGACTCGTGGAGATGCATGAGGCGATGCTGACACATTACAACACGTGATAAGATTGGGTGAAGTTTCTGCATGGGTTTCTCCAAGTCACTCTCAAAGACCGGCCAAGGGTGACGGGAACGTGGCCTGTGTCCTCAGCTCTAGAATAGACACTCACTCTTAAAACTTCTGTTCCTTAATTCTGCTGGAGCTGGTGCCTGTCCTGAATCTTACCTCCAAGAGGAGAAAAAAAGAAACTGAATTTCAGTCTAGCACAAAACATGTACCTTGCTGTTCAACTGCTCAATTCTTAATTCCTTCTGGTGAATTTCCTTTAAGCTGTTATTTTTTTCTTTTTTAAAAATATTTATTTATTTATTATGTATACAATATTCTGTCTGTGTGTATGTCTACAGGCCAGAAGAGGGCACCAGACCCTGGTGCGGGAGAATTGTCTGTATTCTGTCAATCATGTATTTTAATAAAATGCTGATTGGCCCATGCCATCTCTCCAGCCCCTCCCCCCTTTAAGCTGTTATTAAGCTGATCCCTGAGAAGTTCTGTCTCATAAACAAGGTTTTGTGACCCATCGATGGAGACTGATGTTTCTGGGGATGCCTGCCAGGAAACAAACATCCGTGCATTGTCTGCTAAGACTGTTCATACTCAGCTCCTTGCCCTGGAAGAAATCATGCCCACTGTAGAAGAAGTCAGTGGAGGCTTGCCTTATAGTTGCAGACAGGCAGTTAGTTATAGGAGGAGGATGCAGACGGGCAGTTAGTTATAGGAGGAGGATGCAGACAGGCAGTTAGTTATAGGAGGAGGATGCAGACAGGCAGTTAGTTATAGGAGGAGGATGCAGAAGGGCAGTTAGTTATAGGAGGAGGATGCAGACGGGCAGTTAGTTATAGGAGGAGGATGTAGAAGGGCAGTTAGTTATAGGAGGAGGATGCTGTTTTGGGTCATGGCCCTCTGAGTAAACTACATGAGTCTCCTCACCTGTCTCTGGTACTGTGCAGAGAGACTCTGGGTTTGGGAGGAAGACCTCAGGAGACTCTGCAGATGCCTGAGCTGCTGATCTTTGTCTGCGATGGCCATAATGGACTGCTCCTTCATCTGCTTCTCACGAAGTTCTCAGGTGTTCTTTTCCATTCTACAGCATGAAAAAAAATGGCTCAGATATACTCATGGTGCAAAGAAGAAAAATTCCATATTCCAAACACTCTTATGCAATGTTAGCTATGTAGCAAAACTAATACATATCAGAGTAAAATTTATTTCACAAGTGGAAGCACCCAGTAAGGTGGTGAGAGCAGGCTGTGACAGGACTGGAGGAGGAACTCCTATGGCAGGACTGGAGGACGGAATGTGGATGGTGAGACCGTGTAGCAGTGTGTACAACAGTATGTACGGAATGTGGATGGTGAGACCATGTAGTCAGTGTGTACAACAACAGACATGGAATGTGGATGGTGAGACCATGTAGTCAGTGTGTACAACAGTATGTATGGAATGTGGATGGTGAGACCATGTAGTCAGTGTGTACAACAGTATGTACGGAATGTGGATGGTGAGACCATGTAGCAGTGTGTACAGCAACACATAGAGAATTTGAATGCTAGGACCAGGAAGGGCACTGGAAACCACCACAGTCCTTCAGCAGTGTCATGACCCCAATGCAGAATCAACACCAGTGTTGACTCTGAAGGACTTAGAACTCTGGTTCTTGTATATATTAGGTACGAGTACTGAGCAAATGCCAGTCTTTCCAAGTTCTTTAAATAAACTAGGAATAAGCTAGTTATTCCTTAGGACTATTGTAAGATTAAATGAGACACCACACATCACTCATCAAACACAAGGCCTGGCACATGTTAAATATCAAATAATAAACATTAGTTATTTTATTTACCTATTTTCCTGAATTTGGTAAAGAGTGGAGCTTCTAATGAATACCAGCTATTTGTTTGTTATGCATAAAAGCAGCTGGGTATGACATGTATCATGTCACATAGGATGCTGGATGTGACAGGTACATGTCACATAGGATGCTGGGTGTGACAGGTACATGTCACATAGGATGTTGGGTGTGACAGGTACATGTCACATAGGATGCTGGATGTGACAGGTACATGTCACATAGGATGCTTTCTCTGGAGGAAACTAAGTGAAGTGTACATACATGCTCTCTCGCTGTTTCCACAGTATTCTATAAAGCAGCAACTATTTCAAAATAAAATGTTGAAAGACAATAATAATAAAGGGTCAAAATGCAGATGCAGGAATAGTCCTACCTGAGCTGATGTAGCTCATGCTGCCAGGCCAGGCTTTCCCGCCTAAGTTCCTCCATCACCTGCACGGTTTCTGTCTGCTCTAGATACTCCTGGAGCTGAGCCTTCAGTGGCCGTAGCTCAGTGACCTCCTGATTCCTCAGTAAGTACTGCTGCTGCAGGGTGTTCAGTTCATTCAGCTTTAATCAGAGGGAGCAGAGGGTGACTTCCCATTCCTTACTGACCAGTTGCTCTTGCCACACAGGCACCAGACTGTGAGCACCTTCCCACAGTCCACAGACAGCCAAGGAGCTGCCATCAAGGCTACAGGGCCTAACCCATCCCTTCCACTTCTACCCCATAGCCCCACCTCTAAGGTCTGAAGTTCCGACTTTGACCTGAGACAGACTTAAAGGACCTACAGGTTATTGTGACCGGGGAATGTAAAGAGTGGCTTCCCGCTTACACATGTGCCTGCCATGAGCTCCTGTATTCATACATGAACACCAGCCATTTTCTTTGTTGCTGCTGCTGCTGTTGTTTATTTGTTTATCTTGTCCTTGTTTCTCACTTCTCGGGCAGAACTCAGGCACACAGGCAAGTGCTCTACCACTAAGCCACATCCCAGCTGGACTCCAACCTTAACTCAAGCTGAGCCGATGTCTACTATTATAAAGAAGGTGCACACCCTTCGGTTCTAGAATTGGATACCCTGTTTCTTGGATGAGAGTTGAGCTAAGTCTTTGTTTCCCTCACCCATTAAATGAAGATAATTCAGCAGTTTTCCTCAAACAAACATGAGAATTAAATAAGCAAAGAGTGCGTCTCACAAACAAGGTTAATGAATGTTAGGATAGACTAGCCTTTAGCAAAACTGCAATCTATTTTAAAACTCTTTCCCAATACCCACTAAGAGCTTGATCCAGAAATGACGTCAGGACACCTGGGGAAGACAACAGCCTTCAACCACACCTTTCACCACTCACAAATGTTAGTGCTGTCGTACCAGTGGCTGTTTAGAAAGCACCAAACACAAGAGCGGGAGCAACAAGACAGCAGAAGCCCACACTTGAGGCCGAGAAGCAGATGACACATTAGCAGGGGAAACCACAGGCGCAGAGAGACAGGCGAGAATGCTGGCAACCAGAACATTACAGCAGCAATAAAGAATTACCAAGAGAACTCACCAAACTTAGTCTGATCTCCTCTTTCCTTTGAAGGTCATAGCCAAACTTCTGCTGCCATATCTTGGCTTTCTCGATCACCCTGTGACGGTCATCCTGGAGGGATGACATGCTCTTAGAAAAGGCTGCGAGCTGAGCCACAGTGCTGGCCAGGCTCTCCTGCAGCTGTTTCATTGCTTTGTCTTTCTGGGACAGGGTGACCTGGATCTCTGCAAGCGTGTCTTCCATGCGGACCTTTTCTCCGTGCAAAGCATCCAGTTTCTCTTGCATGTTCTTCTTCTCGTCCAGGTGTTTTTCTTCCGCTTGCTCCAGTCTTCGCACCAGATCTTCATCTTTCTGTTTCATCTGGATTCTGACGACTTCTTTGTTTGACTGAAGTTCCTTTTTCAGTCGGAGGTTGTCGGCTTGCACTCTTGCGGCTTCGCTTTGCGTGTCATCTAGCAGCACCTTGAAGCTAGATAGTTCCTCTTGTGCCTTTTCACGGTGTTCAGCTGCTTGCACCAGATTTCCTTTGGTCACTTCCAGATCCTTTTGGGATTCAGTCTGAAAAAGCTCTAAGGCCTTAACCGTCTTCTCCAGAGTGCTGATCCTCTCCTGGTACCTAATGCAGTCCCTCTGCAGCTGCTTTTCCATCTCTCTTTTGTCCGTCTCTGTGCTCCATAACTTCCCGTGCAGTTCTTGCTTCTCTTGCTGCACATGTACCACCACGTGCTGAATCCTCTCCACTTCATTGCTCGCATTCTTGTAGGACTGCAGAAGAACTTCATACTCCTTCTGCAGCTCCCTGTGCTTCTCTTGCCATTTGGCGCTCTCTGCAATGTTGGAGCGTCTCAGAGATTCAAGGTCCTGTATCAGTTTTTTCTTTTCTTTGGTAAGTCCCTCCAGAGCTAGTTTCAGGCTTTCACAAGAGCCACGGAGGCTCTGGTTTTCTAGTAAAGATTTGTCCATGTCGGCAATGAGGTTGTCTCTTTCTTCCTGAAGAAGGGCTAACTTTCCCAGGGCTGCGTCTTTCTCTTCCTTTTGGACAGAAACCTGGGTTTCCACATCTGTGAGGGACTTGGTCAGGTGTGCCACGGCATCTCTAGCTGAAGACAATTCTCCTTGCAGATTCTTTCGGGAGATGAGAGCCGCCTGCAGTGTCCTCTTCATCTTCTGCTTTGCCTTAGCTTCTTCCTCGCCCTCTTCTGATCTCTGCTTCAGCTCACGAAGTTCCACCTGTACCTGCTTCAGCCTCTCCTCATGCTCCTTAGCCTGCATCTCCAGCTGTGTGTGCAGGGCCCTGATCGAATGCTCCTGTTCCATCATCTCTGCCTGGATTTTGGTGAGGGTCTGTTCTCTCTCACTCAGCTGTCCAGACAGGTAGCTGACCTCTTCTTCCTTCTGCTGCAGGTGCTTTTGCAGTTCATCTAGTTCAGGCTGCAATGCTTGCAGATGTTCCAGGCCAGCAAGTTTGAGCTGGCTGTTTTCCAATTCCTGCTGCAGGCTTTCCGCGTGGGCCTCGGCTTCATGGGAGGCTGCCCTCAACTGCTGGTTTTCTAATCCCAGTTTACATATCTGCTCTTGTAAAAGAAAGACTTCTTTTGATTGTTGGGTCAGGTGACTTGTTATGGAACTAATTTTCATTTCCAGCTCTTCTTTCTCAACCTCCATTTCTTTCAGCTGGGCCTTAATCTGGGCAACAGAAACGGTATAACATTCTCACATTATACTTACGATTAATACATTTAATGCTTTATAAATTGTATCTCAAGAGAAAAAGGATTGTTCAACTAGTGTACCTCAACTACTAACAAATCTGGTCAATAATACACATTCTGAACTATTTGGGAATACATCAAACATAAGAGAATCTGCTTGACAGGGACAGTCTGAAGGATAGTTACTGAAGCAAATACACATTCTGAAATATTTGGGAATACATAAAACATTAAGATGATCTGGTGGACAGAGGCAGACTGAAGGGTAGTTACTGAAACAAATACACACAATACACTGTTACAATACAATCTAGAGTATAGCACAGCTCCTGCCTATGCGACCAGCTGGGAAAGGTCTCAGTAAACACTTACTCATGGCTCACAATAGTGTCCAGGGACATTGTCTTAACAGCTCTGTCAGTGTAGGAGCGCATCATCTCACAACAGAGGTGGGTGAACACACTCGCTGCAGTTGTGTGCCAGCCTGGTCCACTGAGATCCAGACTCCCTTTGTTCTGACACTTATTCTCACTAAGAGCCTTGGGGTGATTATAATCTAGCTTTCTACAGAGACAGATGGAGAAGGAGAAAGGAATATACTGGCTATCCAGCCATTTGGTAAACAAACTTATTTACTGTTAATGTATTTACTGGAAGTATTATGGTTTCTCTAATAGATTTGTAAGTTTGTTTAGACTGACTTGTGTACCCTAAACCTGAACAAATCTTAGGAAAAAACAAAGCTGATCCCACACTGGGTAAACAAATGTGAAACAGGAGCAATGGTTCACCCAAGATACAGATCTAAGGCACTGGAATCGGAAGGCTCCTCAGATGTGTGTGTTAGCATCACTCCCTCGCTATGCTCCTTGTGGGGAAGCTGATTTCATGCCTTTCGGGATTTCAGTCAAGTAGACTGCATATGACCGGAGGACAAGGGCGCAGAGAGGCCAAAGGCAGATAAGAGTAACCCAGATCGGCAGCGTGGGTCCATCCAGTGCAGCAAGACAAAGGAAGAATTATGGCCTTATCCGATTACTTCAACCCAGAATTGGTGCGGGAGAATTGTCTGTATTCTGTTAATCATGTATTTTAATAAAACGCTGATTGGCCAGGCAGGCAGTATATGCAGGAAAGCCAGACAGGAAGTAGGGGTGGAGCAAAGAGACTGGGAGTATTCTGGAAGCTGAAGCTCCCTTGGCATTCCTGCACAGACCACCAAAGAGGGAAGATGTAAGCTGCCTCGCTGGAAAAGGTACTGAGCCATGTGCTATTAGAAATGGGTTAATCAAGATGTGAGAGTTAGCCAGTAACTAACTCTCTAGCGATAATGGGCCAAGCAGTGTTTAAATGAATACAATTTGTGTGTTGTTATTTCCGGGGCTATGCTAGCCGTACGGGAGCCGGGTGGGATGAAAAGCAGGCCTGGCCGCAGCTCCTTGTTACATATGGCACCCAGACGTGGATAACTGAATCCAGAGAAAGCCTGAGAAAGCTTGAAAAAGAATAGAGTAAAGCATGGCTTCTTGGTGGCAGCAATTTCTCAGGTCTGCTCTGCTTGCTAGAGGCAAGCAAGCGCTCTCATCTAAGAGAGGCTTCCTGACTCAGCTTTAGCTGCAAAATCTTGCAGCTCTTTTAAGAGGTCCTGCCGCGAAGCACTTAAATGGTTTTGATGAAAAGCTGAATGAATGCTTTTCAGGTTTTCAGCCGTAGCAGAAAAAAAGCTGTGCCGTTTTAAAATGCTGGCTTTCTGGGCTATTCTGCCAGGGCAAACTCTGACTCTTTCAGGCAGGCAGTCCGACTGAGTGTGGTCTGTGAGCAGAATGCTGCAGCTTGCTTGCTAGCAAGGACCTTGAAACGCCATAGAGTTGTGGCAGTGAACACAGCTCTGGCTGGTACCTCAGCCATGAGGGTGGAAAGCTAAGGAATGGGCTAATTCCAGCCGTAAAAGCCACAGTTTTAGTCCTCTCCTTAAAGGCTCATGTGGTCAGAAAAAGAGAGATATACAGTAAAGAGAGATTCAAAGATGAAGAAAACCTCTAAATGGTTTACAGTGTGTTAAAAATATATGCAGGCTAAAAGGTTAAAGTCATTAAAAATAAAAAAGAAAGAAAGGGAGATATAGGGTGTGGTGGTACACACCTTTAATCCCAATGCCTGGGAGGCAGAGGCACATTGACCTCTGAGACTTTAAAGGGCAGAGGAAGTTGACCTCTGTGACTTCAAGGTGTGGTAGCACACACCTTTAATCCCATTGCCTGGGAGGAAGAGACAGACAGATCTCTGAGTTCAAGGTGTGGTAGCACACACCTTTAATCCTAGCACTGGGGAAGCAGAGACATGTGGATCTCTGTGAGTTCAAGGTGAGGTAGCAAACACCTTTGAGCCCAGTACTGGGGAGGCAGAGACAGAAGGATCTCTGTGAATTCAAGGACAGCCTGGTCTACAGTGTTATTCCAGGACAAAGATTAACAGAGAACCTGTGTCAAAAAGTAAAAGTAAAAATAAGAGAAATAGAGGTTAAAAATAAAGCTGCATAAAGATGGAAAATACACAGAGAACCTTGATACTGTATGCTATTATGCTCTCTTTGAATTGTTTGAATGCTGAGGAAGGAGCAACAGCTGCTAAAGGACTGTTGTTTATAAATGCTGCTGAACTAACCCAAGATAGGTATTTTGAAAATACCTTGGTTTCAAAATTGAAGTCAAAAGGTATGTTACTTTGGAGAAGAGATTTTGCTTTTGTTTCCACAGAAAATGAGAGGCTCTGGATTTATTCAGAGTTAAGAAAAATCATCTTTGATCAAGGGAGACCTCCTGAGAAATTTCCGGTAGGAACAGATGGCCTGGATGTCTGAATTCTACATCCAGAACAGATTCAAGACTGCTGCCTGAGATGATCAAGACTCACAGGATACTCCAGTCAGGACTTAATTATAACTCTAAATTTTCTTTAGGTCCCCATAAGATCATCAGCGCCCCCAACCAGCAGGAAGTAGCCTGAAATACTACGCCCACATTCCCAACAAATGGACTATGGGTATTTTCTTTTGTTAAAAAAAAAAGAGGGAAATGGTGTGGGAGAATTGTCTGTATTCTGTCAATCATATTTTAATAAAACACTGATTGGCCAGGCAGGCAGTATAGGCGGGAAAGCCAGACAGGAAGTAGGGGTGGAACAAAGAGATTGGGAGTTTTCTGGGACACAGGAAGCTCTCTCGCCACTCCTGCGCAGACCACTGAAGAGGCAGCATGTAACTTGCCCAGCTGAGAAAGGTACGGAGCCATTATGGCTAACATAGATGAGAATAATGGGTTAATATAAGTTATAAGAGTTAACAAGAAGCCTGACCTAATGGGCCAATCAGTTTATAACCTTATGGAATCCTGTGTGTGATTTCTCTTTGGGATTTGCCGGCTGTAGGGTACCGGGTGGGAACAGATACCTCAACAAGCTGGCCCTCATGCTACACAGAATAAAGCTGACCAATAAAAACCAAGCAGAGATCATGCACTATGTACAAGAACCACTCAAGATAAACAAGAGGGGGGAGGGACGAGAAAGAAATTCATCAGAGGAAAAGAGGAAACTGCAGAAAGACTCTAGCCTACAGCCAGGAAGGAAAAGTGTGCTAAAGACAGAAAATGAAGGCCCGGGGAGGGAGCATGCCTGCTTTACCGCTGTGTTACCACCAGGTAAGCACTGAGCATTTGCCGAAAAGAATGAGCAGCTGATTCCAATCCTCTGGCCACTTCAATGTTTTTATGCCTGCTGCCCAACAACTTAAAGTAGAAACCAGCCCTCCCCGGTAGGGAGTTGGGACCGCAGACAGTACCTGGTTTCTCTGTTCGGCCAAAGTCAGCTCCTGCTGCTGCAAGTCTACAGCCTGAGCATGGCCCAACAAGGCTTCTTCATGATCCTCCAGTGTTTTTTGCATCATCCTCAGTTTCTGGAAAGAAACATTTAGACATAATTACAGATAAATAACTAAAATTATTTGCCTACCTTCCAAAGTGCCATGTGCACCTGTAAGGCTATGCTTACATAGCCTTATGTGGGAGAAAAGGGCTAAGTAAAAAACTGCATGCCATGACCCATCCAGCAGGAAGAGAATATCCAAAATGCCTTCTCCAGAGCGTGACAACAGCCAAACCCAAATGCAAGCAAGGCCTTGAATCACAGAGCCTAATATACTTAAGATAAAATGACACACATTCACGTTCAAAATTACATAGTTCCTGTCCTGTCCCTAAGCAGCAGAGGTACCATGCATATCTTACCTACAAAAGAGAGCAATCTTTATAGGCAAAACCATTTCTCTTCTGGTTTCAATCACAGGGCAGGCACTTGAACAATACCTATTGAACAAATCAATCAATACACACAATTCATAGTCTAGTTTTCAAAGTAGAACACTCTGAAATTCCACTTAGTAGTACATTCTGAGAGACCGCTTAGAACTTGGAACAGGTTTGCACTCAAGAACAAAGAAATGAGTGGCTGGAAAGATTGGCATAATTGGCAAAGTCCTTGTGAGGACGTGTTCAATCTCCAGAATCCACATAAAAAAAGCCAGGCCAGGTGAATCCTAGACTGAGGAGGGAGAAACAGGATTCTGGAGGCTTCTTGGCCAGCCAGCTAGCCTAGCCTAAGTGGTGACCTAGACCAATGAGAGGCCCCGCCCCCGAGGGCGAAAGTATCAAGGCGAATGGCTCCAGAGGAAGGAATGACAACCAAAGTTGTCCTCTGGCCACCACACACATGTACATGTGTGCATGCATGCCTATGTGCATAAACATGCACTTGCACATACATGAACACACATATACAAACACAGATCAAACAAAGTGACACTAAAGTGCCTTTTTTTACAGGGTTCTGCATACTAAGTCCACGCAATGTGAGTTAGTAAAGGGTAAGCTCAAATACAATGAAGTCAATTTTCAATGCACTTTGAAAAATACTGATTTAATAAAAGAATGTGTCTTCCACACCACTTTTTACCTCTTTTTTTCTTAAATACAAAACTGACTTCATCTATTTGAAGTTTTGGATCAGGGGTAGAACATGAATGGTCACAGTAAATCCTCAAATGAAAAAGAAACCAGCCCATTGCTGACTCCCACATAAGTCCCCAAGAAGTTCCAACCTGATGAGATAGGGAAAAGGGAAAGTGGACAAGACAAAAAATGATGGGCAATGAAAGACAGGACACCAATAAGAAGCCAAGGAATGCATGGAGGATGTATGGAGCACAGCGGGGAAGGGCAGGGCTTGGGAAGTGGCTGTGAGGTCTCGATTAAACGTTTACCAAAGCGAGAGTCATTCCACGGAGTGTGAGCAGCACACCTACAGCATCTCTGTCTGTACATCTGCCTGGGTCACTAACGGAAGCAGCTCATCTTCATGGAGGCGGACCTGGGTTTCAAAGCGGGCGTCTTTCTCCCGGACCACCTGCTGCGTGGAACTCAACTGAAGGCACACGCCAGAGAAACTAGACCAGGTACGCTCCAGAGTAGCTCACAGACAAGTCTTTCAGCCTAACCTCCAAAGATGGGCACACAGCACTGAAGAACAGCGCTTCTCTAAGCCTCAGCTCTGAGGGGCAAGGGTGAGAATGTCAGAAGAGCAAGCGGCCCAGCAGTAACTTCCAGACAAGAGAGAAAGCTACTATCAAACTCCAAATCAACTCATATATAACTTTAATTAAAAATATCTTCACAGATACTAAAAATGTTATAAATATGGGAGAAAATACTTTTTAATTCTGAAAAGATTAGAAAATTAAACATACAAGTGAAGTTAAATTTCTGTTAACTCCTTCAGTATCAGACTCATGCTCAAAAGTGGTCCTGGAACCTCCCTCCTGTAAATTAGCAGTTCAAGGCATGAACATTATTCAATATGCTCTACAGATAGAAATGCAAGTCTATTCTATCTTGTATGGTTATCTGTTTGTGTTTTCAGGGGCATCACCTCCCCAGGAGCCATGGGCATCACCTCCCCAGAAAGCCAAGTCCAGCTGTCACTCCTGCAGACTGCTCTCTTTAATGCATTCTTCTCTGTCTTTCCCAGCTCTTCCCCATAAGAACGTGGCTTGTCTAGAGTGTTTCCTAGCTCTCAGGAATCTTCTCTGTCTCCCCAACAAGAACATGTTTTCTCTAGAGTGTTACCTAGCTCTCAGGGTTCTGTTTAAATCCCATCTTTTTTCTGTATAAGTTTCTAGAACCACCATATTCACAGAATACTTTAAAGCTGAGGTTACCTTTATCAATTTTATTTTTTGAGATAGGTCTCCCTGTGTAGCCGGGGCTAGCCTGGAACTTGCCATGCAGCCAACACTGGTGTCAAACCCATGATCTGTACACCTCAGTCTCCTGCATGCTAGGGCAGTGGCTTGTGTTACCACACTTGGCCTTTGGTATTTTGTTTGGAGTGGCTTGTTCCACAATGGACCTGTTACCATATTCATATGTCTTCATTGCCTTTGTTTTAAGTAAATTAAAAGAATAAAAAATGTGTAACATTTTCCTATCCTACACTATATATGAAGCATGAAAACTCCAACAGAAGCTAATAGGATAAGATTATCAATTTCTGGGTATATAACTCTGTGTGCCCAACCGTTAGCCATTCCTACATGGAAGACACCTCTGTTATCAATATGTCTGATGGCTAAGATCAGCTGAGTGTTGTGTGCAAAGACCTCTGGGGATGAAAATGTGGCATGAAACAAAAGCATCCTTGAAGGAGAACTATGGGAAACTGAGAAAAACAGAGTTGAGGGTGCCAGAGCAAACAGGCTGGCTCTGGTTTCAGAATGACCATGAAGAAGAATGCTGCATACTAGAGTCATTAGTAAGGAGCCTTATACCCTCTCCACTTCTTTAGTCTATATTCATTAAGTAACTTTTATGTTAAGATATATCTTCCTAATAAGATTTTAATCAGAAAAGAATGGAGCTAATAATTTGAATTCTTTTGTTTTATTTATCTGTTTCCTTTGAGTTCAGCCATGATCCCCTTCCTGAGATACAGAATCTCTGTGTGCTATTAAAATGGAGTATCTGGACCTAAGGAATAAAAACAGTCGTCATAAAGCTATGGCAAGTTTACCAACATAAATGGCATTTTTGAGGGGATTTGGTGTTTCCTACTAAGATATGAACCACTTATCATATTTCTAGCTTCTTCTGCCACACCTTCCTAGCTTGTCTTTAATATCCTAGCTACCATACTTTCATCTGCCAAGCTTTACAAGTGACTGATGGGATTGACTTGCCACCTGCACCATTCTGGATCCCATGGATTTTATCCTAATGGAGGTGCCATCATCCTATCTGTGAAGCTTGCTCTGCCTGTGTCTGGCTGAGCTGAGTCCGCAAAGTGCTAATGAGTTCCTCCTTGTCTTGAAGCTGCTGCTTCATCAGGACAAACTCCTCCATCTCTGCCAAACTCTAACCCAACTGAAGGTGGAAAATATTTCCTTAAGCAATGGGTTTGGCGTTCTTAGTTCTTTTGACTTTCTCATTTGTCTTGAATCCCTACCACATCTCCTTCTAATTTCCACTTTAATGCAAAAAGAATTTCATTTGCTAATTTATAAAGTATCATTGAATTGCCAAAACTTTTCAGAAGAAGACAGAAGCAATAGCAATATGTTTTTCAATTTCTTTGAAAGCTAACATAGCAAAGAGACAGAACAATTAGACAGTGAGCAGAAAAACATGGACAACAGTAACGATATGTAGGAAGCCATCCTCCAAACCTTGGACTAAACAAGTTAAGGGCAAACCAGGAAAATTGGGATTTTCTTGGCATTAGAGACTGTAAAATAATAGTAAAAAAAGACAGCAATAGAGATATATCTGATGATCCTGTGGAATAGGAAAAAAATCCAAGGTAACCAAGAAGTATTTGTAGGAATAGATGGCAGCCAGCATTAGAAGAGAAGCAACACTTCCCATTCTTTGATGATGGGTAAATGCAGGCCATCCACAGGAAAGATTCCCATATGCGATCTGTATAGATATAGGCTTAGCAATGGTTTGGTGGCAACTAGCACTTGCTGCTCTTGTGAAAAGATCCAGGTTCGGTCCCAGCACCCACGCTATTGGTAACTCCAATTTCAGGGGATCTGATATCCTCGTCTGACCTCTGGGGTATGTAGTGCATATACATACATGTAAGCAAAACCATTCACACACAAAAAATGAATGAACAATTACATAATATCATTCAAAAGTCAGGCATGGTGGCTCATGCCTATAATTCCAGCACTCAAGAGGCTGAGATAGGAGGACTGCCACAAGTTCAAGGTAAAACTGGGCTACATTGTGAGACCTTGCCCAAAAACAACAACAAAAATCATGAAGAATAAGGAGCAGAACAATATGCTGAAAGACATAGCTTATTTCAGAGTTAAACATGTTTAAGAAAAATAAACAGGACACGAAAGGAAAATTAGAATTAGAAATGTTTTAAAAGTAATAAAATTCATGAAGCTGATATAAAAGAAAACTCATTTCAGAAGAGAAAGCCAAACACAAAACAGAATGCTTGAGTTAAATAGGGAAAAGGATAAATCTAAAAAATATTAATCAAAATTGGTTAAACACACACACACACACACACACACACACACACACACACACACACAACTGAAAATAAAGGTTAACAGAAACCTGCAAAAAATAAAAAAAAAGCATTGGAGCTGACCGAATGCTATGAATCATGTAATTCAAGAGTTTCTGAAAACACATGATCCATATATGAAAGAATACACTGAGTATGTGCAAATACCAACCAAGAATGCCACACACACATGTAAACTCTAATAAATGAGAGGACATGGAAGTAAGGGAGAGAGGGAGGGGCAGGCAGGGAGGGACCGACTGATGGGAGATCACTACTGATTGTCCAAAAAGGGGCATTTGCCATGGATATCCGTTGGCTGGTAATGATTTCTTAAGCTAATAATAACGAGCTGACTCACTCCTACCTTCATGGCTTGTTCTGATTGTGCCCGGTGAAGCTGGGTTTGCAAATGTTTAATTAATTTTTCCTTCTCCTGGAGTTCATGTTGTATCTTTTTTGTCTCCTCTTTTGTAGAATTTTTAAAACGCTGAAAATTGCAATAGATTGAAGTCACTTACTTAAGAGTTACAATTAATATATATTTTATCTTTTACACTATTTGCCTTTAGAGACATTTAATTACAGCTTCATCAAAGTGATAGAAGCACTCTGGAGTGAGAAGCAGGAGGATCTCTCTTAGAAGCCATCCTGGTTTATAGTCCCAGAACAATCAGAACTACATAGAAAGACCCTGTATCAAACAAACAAACAAAGAACAATAAAACCAATCAACCAAGCACAACAAAATCAAACAACAACAACACAATCAAGAAAAAAATTAACACAAAGGATAAATTTTGGGCTGGAAAGATAGCTGAGTTTAAGAATGCTTGTTCTACAACCACGGCTACTAGAGCCCACAAACACCTGTTACTCCGGCTTCGAGGGATCTGACACACTCTCTTCTTGTCTCTGATGCCCTTCTCTGTCTGCTGCTGTCCGTCCATGCCCCCTGCCACACACATGCACACATGCACGCAGCGCTAAGCACGCCATGGCACACCATGGTTACAGGGCTGCTCTGACTGACAGGTGGAGTGGACTGGGACTGCTGGACATCATTTATTGAACACGGAAAGGAAATGATGTATAAGATGCTGGCACGTTTAAGGCCCGAGGGCAAAGTAGTAAGCTAGAGTGAAATGCAGAGTATAAAACGAAAACGTAAAAAAAATCTAACAACGTGACTCAAGGGATGTCTGAAAGAATCAACATGAAAAGGAAAAGGTTAGTGCCTGCCTCCACAGCCAGGGGAAGAGAGTTGCCATAGGAACTATAGAGGAGGAAAAGAATTCAAACAAAGAAATTACTTGCTTTTAAAATCAAGTTTGAGATGTTAAACAACCCTATTCTCTTCCCCTCCTTCTCGTGCCCCTGCTGTAGGAGGGGCTAAACCTAGGGTCTTATCCACACTGCATAGGTGTTCTTCTCCTAAGCCACATCCCCAGGGCAGACAAGCAAAAGCAAAGTCCCTGAAAGGCAAGGCTAAGGAGGGCACTGGGAGGTAACCAGTGCCCTCAAGGGCTGTGGCTCAGAACTTGGAAAACTCCCCTCAGAAGGAACACTTCTGATAATATAATACAGGGAGCAGGGGGAGTCGAGGTCGACTTACAACCTCTGTGAGCCACAGTGGCACAGCAGCATCAGGGTACTCTGCACACACCCCCCAATACCTGACGGTTTCTGTTCTCTACAGAGGTACCCAAGCATGGTTAGGACCCAACACTCAGAAGGCAGAGGCTGAGAGATCAGGAGTCCAAGGTCATCTTTGGCTAGCTACAGAGAAATTTGGAGACCAGCCTGGAATACACGAGACCCTGTCTCAAACAAAATAAATTAAAATAAGTTATTTGAAAATTGAAACAAAACAAAAGCCTTCAACTATTTGGCTTGCCACTTGTCTTTGAAAAAGTTAATGGACATCTTTTGAATCCTTAAGGGTTGGAAAATACAATGCAAACTACAAGAAAGGCAAACAAATGTACGGAAATAAACAGAGGTTTTCATGCAAAAATAGTGTTCCAGTCCCATTACTCTTAAGGAGGAGGAAGGGGAGGAGAGAGAGGAGGAAGGGGAGGAGAAAGATGTTAACAATAACTTCTTAAGACAGTTTGGTACTAAACTGTCTAAGCAGACAACAGAGACCCATCTTTCCCGGCTCATCCACACTTAGTTTCTGTCCCCACAGCTCTCAGACTAACAGTCCTTAGCACAGGATCATTTACAGAGTGGCAGTGGTTTTCTTAAACATCACTTCTACTTTGCATGAGGGAGGCTGCTCACATCCCTCTAGCTTAAGGTATTCTCCTCAGAAGAACACACAACGGAGGTCTTGTCACTCTGGATCTGGACAAAGTTACTCACAGCTTCTAAGAGAGCTCTCATGTTCTGCTCGGCATAATAGCCAGACAGTTCACGTAAAAGAACAATTCCTATTTCAGAAAATCGGCTCAGCATCTCTGAAAGAGAAATAGAAAATGCAACAATCAGTAAAAACAGATCCAGGCTGCTGGAGAGTAAGTAGAGCAGACGGGTGCAGCTAGGCAATAGTAGCCATATCATCTGTGGGAGAGAAGGGATGTCACTGGATTCGGTGTGCAGCCAGCTGTGTGCATGGTGTAGCCGCACCCTGTTCTGCTCAGGTGCCATATCTCAATACACAGCTGTAAGGAAAAGATGACAGACATATCAAGTGAAAAGGGCAAGATTCCCAAATGAATAATAAAACTAAAAGGAAAGCACAAAGAAGGGCGTCTAGAATGGACAACCAGGTTATATTTGTTACAGTGACTATACATTTTATAGCGTGGTTTTCTATATCTGTGTTTTATCAATGAGAAGTGGTTTTCTAAAGAAAATTTCACAGAAACTGTTAAACAATTCTGTTTAGAGACACCCATAGGAAACTTTAGTTCGTATTTTTATTGACTCTTTTCTGTACAGTCCATAAGGTATATGATGCTGAGATTCAGGCATACAGTGGGAGGTAATCAACTCAGGGTGATTAGCATATTCATAAAGGAGTTTCTAGACTTAAAGCCAGGCTTTGTCACACATCCCGACCTAGAAACATGCAGGACTGGCCAGCTCGCCCACCTCCAGGACTCCCCCGAGGAGAAACGACCCTGCTGGCCGCCTGGGTGTGTGTGTTCTGGGGCCACATAGAGAGGCAGCACCGGGTGGCCACCTAGGATGGGCAGGTGACAGCGGCAGAGCCCTGAAGGGCGATGAGACCTTCTGAGCACCGGTGTTCCCTGGCCAGCGGTGCGCAGAGGGGCTGATGAGGGGCTCCTCGCGAAGCCTGAGGACCACACTCACCTGCAGGTGGGTGCCACCGGCCAAGCCGGCCGCCCCCCGCTGGACCTAAGCCAAGTCAGTTGGGAATCCCAAACTCAGTGCCTCCGCCTCCACGCCCTGAAACACCACCACTCTCCCTGGGACCAAAGACGGGACTGAGGCTTCTGCCTCTGGAACTGAGAATGGGCCATTACCCTGGTGACCAGGCAGGCCTTGTTTGTAACCTATTGTGTCACAGTGACAGACAGACACCAATTGATGCCCTAAAACTTTCCACTTCCACAAAGACAGAACCAAGGGGTTCTAAGGAGGAAAGGCATGGGGGATGATTATGTGTTGAGGTGTGACTCAGGAGAAGATTCAAGAAGGCCAGGCAATGGCGAGAGGGTGGGTGTTCTGCAAATATCAGGTGTTTGCTGCATAGTTTGGGAGTTCCGGTTTAGCCTAATTTCTTACCAAATGCTGTTCGTGCTAGAGACTATGGGCCAGGCTTTTAAGGAGATTTTGGACTAGGGGCACCGGTTGCTAGTATTGGGTTCTGTTTGAGAACCAACCCGGAGTAGAGCCTGAAACTTGGTTTAGTATGGCTTTTTAACTTTGTGATGAAAAAGTGAGAACTAGAGATCGGGCTAGTCAAAGACAACAGCAATTTAGCAAGGGTCGGACGACAACCTGACGTCACAAGGCATCCTTTGCTGGTTTGGCTCAGGATGTGAGTGTAAGAGACGGTGAAGAGTTGGGAAGTGGCGCTTCAGCTGGGATAAGCAGACAGAGATTTAAGGGCTCAGGGCTTGGGACGAGTCAGTGAGGAGCTCCAACAAGAGACAGATGGCCCTCATCAAGCGTTCCTTCCTCCTAAAAGGCCGGCCCGCGGCGGAGGGTGCAGAAACCTAGCCAACTCCTAATGATTTCAGACATTCTTTGTAATAATGTTACTATGAATTTATGGAATCTCATTGTACACCAAGCACTCAGCTAGCCCACTCACTGTATTTGCAATCTCATCCTAATGATCACACCATCTCGAGGCTCAAATAGTAGCTCAGAAGGGCATCTCTCAGCTGCTTATTTAAAGTTGTATATTTACTATATCTATTTTGTCACCTAACATTGCCTTATTGCCTTATCACAGTTTATTATAAGAAATCCTGGGGTTTTTGTCTTTTTTGATCTCAGTTGTATCTCCAGGTCCCAGAATAATATACAGGAGGTACTAAATGTCCCTTGAAGTAATATTATGTGTGACTATCTTTAATTTAAATGCAATATAATAAACTTAAAAAACACTGGTTTATACAAGATGTTTTGGGGAGGGGCAGAGCCAGAATAAGAGGTGACTTTTATCTCTTTGTAAACATACCTACAATTGGTCTTAGGTCTTTCAGTTTTAAGACCTCTCCTTACAGAAGTTATAAAATGGTCTAGTAGGCATGGCCCCACCTCCTCTTGGGTGGGTCCAGACTGGTCATTCCCAGAGGACTGCAGTGACTACAAAGGGAGTGGAATGGGGAAATGTGGAGAGGTTGGAGCTGAGCTGAGCTCCTTCAAGCTCCTTCAGCATCACTGAAGGAAGGGAATGGTTTAAAGTGCAGCCCAGCTGCATCTTACTGACTCTGAGCGAGTGACTGGGATGGCAGATGGTAAGTTAGGGATTATTCAGGTGTGGGACACTTGACTTTAATCCCAGTACTTGGGAGACAGGCAGGCAGATCTCTGAATTTGAAACCTGTTTCGTTTATGAATAGAATTCCAGGCCAGTTTGCTGAGTGAGTCAGGCTGTGTCTCCATTGTCTCTTCCAAAAGCAAATAATTAGGAATTTGCACTAAGTGGGAGTGAACACCAGTGGGGTTTCAGAATCATGTGTGGATTGACGGAGATATTTGACCAAGGTGATATGAACCAATAGGCAAGGAATATGTTGACTATATAATATGGTGTGTCAATTTATGCAAAGACATTTGAATATTATTCTGTAACCAAAGAAGTTTGTGTCGCTCAGGTGTCTCTCAGAGAGTGATCATTTTGGGTTCCTGAGACGGTTTCCTAGGAAAGGCTCTTACTGGAGTCTACATGATGGCAAAAGGAAAGAAACAAAAGTTGTCCTCTGACCTCCACCTGTGCTATGGAAGTCAGATACACACATCAGACCCAATGATAATCTTTCTTTTAAAAAAGAGTGACCATTTCCCTTATTCCATGTGTAATGAGCAAAGGTTGAGGGGAAAAAAAGTCCTATCCTGCAGCACACACGTAATACAGGAGAAGGAAGCTGAGGGGGTGGGGGGTTAAACAGCAGGGTAGAGATTGTCTGGAGGAAAAATAACGAAGGCAGAACACTATGTGGAAAGGGGTATGGGAATGAAGATGCTAGGAAGGGGTCAGGAGACAGCTAAGCAAACTAAGATGTATGGGAAGCCTGATGGAAACCACTCCTTTGTAAGCTGAGTTTTAAATATGTTGGTTTTCTAACGTGGAGTTTGAACAGAGATACTTTGTGTGGTGGGTTATGCTGTTCCCAGACCCGTGGGTTCTTCAGCAAATCCAGTGCTAGGTCTGGGATAGCTCCCTGTGAGTTATTAGCCAAGCAGAGCTCAGAAACCCAGAAAATCCAAGCTACTGCACTGTGCTTGGTTGTCCACCAGAACTGGATGGTTGAACTGTATTTTAGAACATACACACTTCCATCATGGAACAGAGAAATCAATCTGGATCTGACCTGGAAAGTGACTAAAGTCTGCTTATAGCTACTGGGGGAGAAAAGTTATCATTGGTCTTAGCCTACAGTGGATGCTGCATGCAACGATACTGGCCTGCCATGTAAGGTTCTCACTGGGGCAACAATGGCATGAATGTTTTGGGAGTTACCAACCCCTATCTGGTTGGATATCAGGCATGCTCTACAAAAGGGAATTCATGTCTGGTATTGTAAATCCTGTCCAAAAGTCCTTAGCTGGGATGGTATAGACACTTGGAAGGGACTTCTATTGTTTTGCTGAATGGACATATTTCCACATTGCCTTGTAAATATGAGTATACCCACTGTTGTTTCTTTTTGCCATGAGCGAAGGTGAATGCTGAAATTCGTAACTAGTCAAAGGACTGGGAATAACAAACCATCAGGTACTCAGCCTTGAAAAGGACATTAGCCTCACCCCCAACCACCATGGCTTAGAGAACATCACAGAAGAGGAGGCAGGAAGAATTTAAACATTGGATGTGAAGAAGTGCCTTGAAAATCTGCTTTCTGGACATGACATGGCTGTTGCATGCATGAATTAACCTGCAGCTATGGTAACTTGCATAATATCACGCAAGTTTGTCAATATTCCAGCATGGATGAAGGAGCACATGAGGCCTCACTCCTAGCTAAATATATTGCAGTTAATGCCTGATGGGGAAGGGAGTCAATATTTTTCAGGGATGTCACCATTAGTAAGTTGTCCATAATTCAGTAAGCACAGTCTCTCACCCATGCACATACAGTCAACCCTAATTGAACTCAGTGGTTTCATTGTTTGTTTTTTAAAGAAAGCAAGGGCTTGCAGGAGAGTTTTTAGGGGGCCTGGGAGGGAGATGAAAGGTGAGGGTGTTCCTAATCACAATGCATTGCATAATATAGGAATGAAAGAATAAAAAGTTTTGAAAAAACGGTCTCACTCCTCTGAGTTCCTCTCACTCAGTTCCCTTTCCCTTGACAGTTATTTTCTCAAAGCCCCCTCCATCTTCTCCTATGCCAAATACAGACATCCCAAAACTTTCCTATGGCTTTGTTTGTCATTCAGATGTATTTCCAGATGTGTCTTCAACTTAAAACTTATTCAAATATTTGTCAAATATATAAGTTGCTTTTAAGTATATCATATATATATATATATGTGCCATATAATCTGTACCAATGAGTCATATAATCTTATGGATTAGAAAAAGAAGTGACCAACTAAGGCTATTTTGTTGAAAACAGTGTAAGAGGTTGGAGACAGCTGAGTCGTTAAGAGCACTTGCTCTTGCAGAGGACCCAAGTTGGGTTCTGAGTATCACTGTCTGGTGTCTCAGAAGTCCCCTGTAACTTGAACTCTGGTGGAATCTGACACCCTTTTCTGGATGTTTTACATACAGCCCTCCTCATGGTCATATAGA